AATCAGATTGACTGATTTTTGATTGACTGATCCCTGCAAAGACAGAGAATCAGAAGAGAAATCAGAAAAAAAAAGTTCCCCATCTCTAGCCACTCAAAATTCCCTCATTTCCAGCCATCTATTCTGATGTACAGACAATTTTTGGGAAAAAAGATTTCAGAAGAATAAGGAAAGTGAATAAAAAAAAGAGGTACAGTGGAGAAAGATGCTCGAGTCTTGGGAAAATAAAAAATAACTATTTTCAGTTTCAACCCCCCACACAGCTGTCTCCTGCACATTCATTTAATGAGCTGATACTGTACAATCAAATTTCAGTGCCTAGATGTGAATCAAAATCTCAAGTTTCTTTTATTCTGTCCCTAATAAGTATGCACTTTGCATGAGGAAAATAGTATACAAACAGAATCCTCTGCAAGATCTTTTTGTTTTTAAGATTCTCAGAAATAATTATTTAAATATATGAAACTCTGTGGGTGTGTTCTTTTGTCAACATACAGGCATTCCTTTTAAAATCTCATTTAGTGTTAACATGGCTTTGTCAGCCTGACACTAAATAGCATTCAAGATATATCTCTATTTTACTACCAAATGAGTGAAGTGAATGTAGGCTTCTCTGTCTCAAGAAGGATTTGAAGAACAATTTCCTACACCACAATAATGGTTATAATCATCTGAACTTGTCATTCATTATTTAACTTCTCACTACTTTGTCTGAAAGAAAGGAAGACAAGACTGTCAATTTAAATCAAATGGGGAAAAGCAACTTTCAGTTCATTATAGCTTCTTGATACCAATAAGGTGATTGGAGAGTAATTTTTAGCACTCTTCAGTAAAGTAGCAAAGCCACTGTAATATATCATCCTTTATAAGACAGTACTCTAAGACCATTGGAAAAGCAGGAAGCCACAATCAGGGCTGAGACCGTACTTTTGTGCTTCATTAACTTGCCCAAGAATGGGGATTCCAATATTCATGGAAAAGCTTCACTAATTTTGCCAGCACTACCTTTGTTTGCATGTTTTCTGTTTGTTTGTTATTTTTGGTGTTTTTCTCTAAGGTGATCAATGCTTTCTATATTTCTTTGAAGCAAAACAATTATTTTACATAAGAGAGCTCCTGCTGCACTTTTTTGTTTCATATTTTTTCTCTTTTTTTTATTCTTTTTTTAGTAGTAGTGCCAAGAGTGGAGTGCAGAAAGAAGTCTATTTTCTAGTGACATAAGGAAGTCATTACACCACTGTTCCTTAGCTAATGAATTTCAGTCCTGCCTTGCAAAATTCAAAGAAGAATACAGAGTAGCAAGGATGTAATATAAAAATGCTTTGAATTTTGACATATTAATATCACAAACCTAATGAAAGTTTCAAAGATCCAGAATCAATGAAGATGTAATTTTTAAACAAACCATGATAGATATCACTCTGAAAATGGATTATGCTTATATTTCTTACTGGTTTTACTACGGTGTTTTAATCAGTGTCAACACCATTTTCATCAGAAGCATTTGGTTAAAATAACTGCAGAGACAATTTGCGCCCAGGAGTACTAATTCATACCCAATTAATGGTATGAATTAGTGTATGGTATGAATGAATGGTATCAAATAGAATTTTTAAGTTTCCCTAAAAATTCATTTTGGCCTGTGTGAAAGATGCAAACTTATAAACGTTTAAAACAACCCTAAGTATCAATCATACAATGTCTGAACAAAAGAAACAAATAATTGCTACATTTATTATCACAAATGTTCTTCTTTTTTGCTGATGCTGAGCAAGTAAAACAGTGGTACAAAGACAGGCACCAAGCCAGTGAACTCTGAAGGATTTTCATTTCAGGCAAGAGCTGAAATTACAGTGCTAGAATTGCAGCCAGACAATAAGGAGAAAAAAAGCCCTGAGTGACCCCACAACTGATATCAAGAGAGGTGGGGTGTTTTTTTTTTAAATTTCTACTTTTCTCTTTTTTGATTGTTTTAGCTCCAAGACCTAACTTTAGAATAGATTTCCCTTTAGCATTGTTAATTACTGTAACTACTCTTCTGACTGCTATTCTGGTTATAAGAATTGTTCCTTCCACCAAAATAAAGGGCTATTTAATTGGGCACTGAGTAAATCACAGATGAGGCACACACTGTGTCTCTTAGCCAGCTGGACAATAAAGAAGTGATATGGTTGAAACTCTGTGTGTGTCTAATGCTTTATCAATCTTACACGTAGCAATGAGTGTCCTTAGAAAGTGGAAAGGACACAAAACTGGATTAGGAAAAACTGCTAAGCAAATTGCTGCTGGTTCTGTAGACTCACAGCATTTGAAACTGTATCTAAGCCATTTGGTTGACTGAATACAACTCCACACAGATCAGCTGTGCAAGTCGTATCTGTAGCTGTCTTCCATGGAGATTATGTCATCTCTATTTCCTAATGCAGACATACTGCATTTGTCTATTATTGTTTTTATAATTACTGCTGTTTTCTTGAATTAAGTTAGAACTGCGTGGAATGAAGGAAAGACGTGATCTCATTATGTTCAAACTATCTTTCAGATTCATAAGGATTTTAATCAATTAAGAGGACTCTTGCAAAGCAGCACAGAAGATCATAAATGGACGCTTGCTTCTGAATAAAACAACTTCCACTGAGCTGTTCCTATGCTCATTACCATGGGCAGAGCACGGGCAAAGACACGGCTCGCTCCTAGCCCGCTTCTGAGGACAGTCCTACAGGTTCTTCAGGTTGGACACAGGACATCCAAAAAATGTTTTAGGAGGATCCTAACACCTTAGGAGGTGACCTTAGGAGGATCCTTAGGAGGATCAGTATCTCCATAAAAAGCCCAAATGCTCACAGGTGGTACTCACTGCCAGTCCCACAGGGCAGGAAATCATGCCTCTAGAGCAGACCTGGTGACAATATCATGGTATGTCAAAGATATCTGAGCTGCTACTGCCCTTGCTGGAGCCCTCAAGGAGCTGGCTCCTTTTGAAGATTCACAACTCACTACGTTTTACTAGAATGTCATTTTTTCCTCACTGAAAAAAAAAGAGAGAGTTGGGACAAAAAAGTCCCTGGATACTGGGGCAGAAAAAAAGGATAGAGAAAGATAAGGGCAATTTTTGTCCTCTGTTCTTTAGAAAATACGTATAATTTAATGTTATGTTCTCAATCATTTGTTTAAAAAAAAAATCCAAAGAAAACATTCTGGAATTATTTTTCTTCCCTTTTCCAGTATCTCCAATTATTGCTTGTTTTATTCAGAAAATCTATTATTCCTGGCCTTCCCAGCATTTTTAAAAACTGCTTTCCTGCTTTCCCTTCACCATTATTCTCTTACCCTTCTCTAGACAAAACTCTCAATGGCCTCAGATGATTGAGTTACAGGTCAATTAGCCCAATTGCACTTGCCCTTCCTATTCCCAAGCTATCACAACATCTTTCTGCTGCTGTTTGCTGCTACTTCAGAACCACAGTACTACAACTACAGGCCCCTGGCAGTTATGTTAACAAACATTTATAATTTAAGTCATGGTTTAGACATAAATAAAAGCGGCCACTTTCAAGGGGCAATAACTTGCCATTAAGAAATAGTATATATGGATTGTCTGACAGAAGGCATTTTGATTCTTAGACTATTTGCACAAGAGAATCATAAAAAAATGGATGTTTCTGTTGCTCCATAGAAATTGTTTCATTTTACCATGTCTGTCACACATACCCAGCTGACTGTGACTCAGGCAGGAGCCTAAAAAATTGCTCTGTTGTCTCAAGAAAAAATGTTTTCCAGATATGTTCCTACAGGATTTGCACAAAGGCTTTACCATTATGTCATAAAAATGAATGGGAAAGGAATATATACTCATGAACATCTTTTTTTCCTGAAAGATTTTAAACCTAGTATCATCATTGAGATGAATATTTGCTTGTATAAAAACTTGTTTATATAAGTAATAAATTATTATTTATTATTTACATAATACTTGTTATTATCAATAGTCATGAAATTTTTGATACTGTATACCAGCTTAAAAAGCAACTCTTTCTACAAATGAAGCCAGTAAAAAAAAAAGTCATTGGACACATGACAGCTGAAAAGAGGTAGAATTATCTTCTAAATCAGGAATGAATTCAAACCCCAGTTTCAGAATATTCAGAGTTAAATTCACATACTCTGGAATTTAGAAGTCAGATTAAAATCCATATGTATACTTGTTGGCAAAAACGCATTTTCAGACTTGCTGTGGGGGCATTTATGGTTTGATATTAGTTGTTTAGTTCAGATCATGACTTATTTCCAAGTTAGTTCTATTATTCTGTTATTATAAGTACTCTGACAACACTTCTTTTTGATATTATGACCTTAAATTATACTGGCTATCTAAAATCTTTTCTACCTAACATGTTACATACTTGTTTAGTTTTCAGATGTTTCAGAAGCATATGAGAAATCGGTGACTTGCTCCACCAACACAATTTCTTGAGCATTACAGTGCATGTCTAAGAGGAAAGCAGTGCCTAAAGCTGTTCCTGCCTTGAACAAGCCACTGGCACAACTGCAGTGCCAGTGCTGGGAGGCTTGCAGGAGCCCAGCCCCAAACCTGCACCGGTGACAGAGAGAAGGCAGCACGACAATCCTGAACAGATTTCCCACTAGAGGTAGGACACAGCAGGGATGTGAAGCACACCATTTTATATGATGGGAGAACATATACCATTCTTGTTCAGTAGGCTGCTTGGAGAGGTGCTGTCATAGCACGAGAAGCACACAGCCCTTTGCTCAGATCAATAGCTAAATCACGAATTTAGTGCAAACTCACACCAACAAAAGCAGATTACATTATTAAATCTGACTGATAACACACAGACTAACAGTAACCAACCTATGTAAGCATTCCAACCAATGTTTTCCTTGTATGTACTAACACAAAAGATGTCATTTCAAACATCCCAGATCTCATTAACCCTTTAGTAAGTGGAATTCAATCCAAAAGTCTGAATTTACTATACCTCACTAAACTGTTGGCTATGTCAGGATCTTGTGCTGTTACGGTGCCAACAGCAGTCCCAATCTTTGCATTTTCATAAACTTCCATGACATAAGAAGGCATAGTGAAGAGCGGAGGTTCATCCACATCGCCAACAATGATCTTCAGCATCGTTACATCCTTAAATGGTCCCAAATGTGAAAAGCGGAAATCAAGATGAGTGTTTGCTCCTTCTATATTAAGTGTATAGGATTTCTTTTTTTCATAGTTGAGTGGCTGTTGGCAGAAAAAAAAAGTTTTATTATTACCCTTCTGCTTCAGTTTAACCTGAGATGTAGCTACACGCATTTTCTCTTTTTTTTTTCTTAATAGGTAACTATATTTCTTCACAGTGCCTGGAAAAATACAGCACTCTGTGATATCCCAACAGCCACTGCTGTTTAGTTGTAATGGGAAGATATGAAGGACACGAAGCAAGGTGACTCAGGATCTCTCTCCAGCAGAATTCTGGCAAAGTATTAGCTTTAAAAAAAAAAAAAAAAAACCCTCAGAATTGAGATTGAGCAGCAGTTTCTTCTTCTCTGAAATAACTTAATGTTTCAGCATTTTATCACCTTTCACACTTTATTGTTCAATGAATTGAACAAATTATACTCTAATATTGAACAAAACAGTACTATACCCAGACTCAAACCTACTGCTAGTGCCACTTCAGCCTTGCCTTACACGACTCAGTAGATTCCTACTAGGAAGCTTTCCTTTCTACAAGGAGGAAAGAAGCTGAGGTCTGTCCCATATACCCCTGTGCATAAATGCTTCCTTTCTCAGGAGTCCCTTTGCTACCTGCTGTCTACACATACAAAACCTGTTACCATCTTTCTCATCTACCTCCTCCTCCTCTAGAACCTCAGAGGCTCACTAACCACAAAACCTTGCAGCTCAACCCAAACCAGAGAATGTGAAAGTTGCATATGCAGATTTAGTTGTGTTTCCTTGTCCACAAGCATTGGGACATAGGGTCACTATTCTCTTTCAGTGAAACTTTTGATATTGACATTTAAACTACTGTTAAAACCAAGAGCAGAAGTTGGATGATAGTCTTAAATTCTGCAGTGCAGTTAAGTTCCTACTGTTGTTAGAAACCAGCATGGAATTACAGAACAAAAGACTACAGACCGACCTGACTACATGAGATTACATAGCACTTTTTTGACTTGATATATACATTTCAACCCTACGTGGTCACGATATTACATCACATTTTACAAGATATTTACATAAACAGGCACCATGCGACAAGACACACCCAATTCTCAACTCTTCTACTGCAGAGAGCAATACAGTAGGGAAGACTATAGAGATGCTTAACTTAAAAATATGCAGGTAATGAAGTTTAATTAACAGAAACAGAACTAACATGTTCACTGAAAGTGTTGTTTACAGAGTCATAATCTTGGCGGTCCTTTTCCGTGGCCTCACTAAAACAACTGACTACTTTTCATAGAGAGAGAATGATGACTTTGCTGTGAGGGAAGTTATTTTTTTCTATACATTGTCCGCTACATTTGTAATTACTGAAAGAGCTTGAACAAATCCTAGTTTGGGTCAGGTGCAATAGCTGTCCTGAGAAATTTTTAGGTAGCCTGGGTTCACTGCAGCTTCCAATTTTGCAAACCTTGAAACCTACAATCAGTGGCATAAATTGTATTATTTTCTGAGCTGCACAGACTCTGTTTACCATGATTCATGGTCTGAGGACCTAGTTCTTTTGGGGTTGTGCAGAGAACAAAAAAAGTTTAAATTAAGAACTAGCAGTTTCTTCAGAACTCTTGCCCAGTGTCAGAATGTTGCATTTTCCATGTAGCGTCAAAGCCAATCTCTCAGCATGGAAGGGCACTGCAGTGATTGCTGGGACTGATTGCAATGATGAGCTAGGGCAGAGGAATCAGATCTACCATACAACAAAGCACTTAGGGTCAAAGCTACTTAAAATCAGAAGTGTTAAACAACATTCCTTTTGTAATTTGTTGAACTTCTATCTCTGTCTATACTTGCATAAAGTTAGGAAAATTCAAACACGCTGAATGGTCATTTAAATGTTTCATGAAAATATGGAGCTACACACAATCTTAAAGCAGATTTCAAGGTCTTCCACTGTTAGTTTTCAGAAGTGCTTCCATGTTGAGCAAAGATAGATACCTGACTTCAACTCTTACCAGTTTTCATATTTCCGACTTCAGTCAATTTATAAAGAAGGACAGAAGACATAATCTCAAGATGCTATTAAAATACTCATGAAATAAACCATTTCCTGAATGAATACCCCTCTCTTTCCGTTATTATATCATGCATTCATCCATGCCATAAAAGAGTTAGGTCATGATCTGCCACTAAAATCCCTCAAGACAGAACTGAAGGCATGACTGAACACCATTAAAATCAATATTGTTCTGTGTGGGCTTGGGCTTCACAGCCTGACTGAACAGATGCAACACAAGGATTCAAGCCTTAGTCCAAGGCTAAACAAGTACTGAACAGTAGAAAAGTAGTACTTCAGGAAAGAAATATGAGAAACTCAAAGTGTGATTTGTCAATGAAAGGGTGCATTTTGTAGTTAAAACCTACAGTAACTCTGACTGATAAGGTATAGAAATGTAGTTGGTCAGGATTTATAGAAGATAAATATTTTATTGTTTTTCTCTTCTGTGTACAGAATTGTCAGAATTGTCTGTGTAAGGACAATTCATTCACTCAACTCTAATTGCATGAAACCTTTTTTTCTCTCTTTTTCTGCCTTACTTTTCTGGATATATAAATAAAATATTTAAAGAAAGTAGAATTTATCACAGTCCAATAAAAACTATTATGATAAAAACTATTATGGATAAGTATACCATTAAATAAACTAATGAAGAATTATATTTTTATTAAATATAATTCTGTAATCATAACTTAGATGTCACTCAGATTTATTTAGAATTTAGAATATGCTATGAAGCATATATATTCTAAGATGAAACATGCTTACAGTAGAATGACAAACTGTAACTATCATTACTACATTGTTGAAACTACATTGTTGAAAAGAACTTACATGAGTAAGTTACGATACTTGGATTACGTTGCAAGGAAAAATTAATTTCTTTCAGAATATACATGAAGGATGATACACATAAAAGTCTTTTTTTCTTTGGCATTGCTATTCAAATACATAATATCTATTTTTTTCCCCAGAAGTATGAGGACAACCCCTTTAAATAATGAGCAATAGTTGAGATCTCAAGCAGTCTAAAGTTTTAAAACTATACCCAAAGAAGTTTTAAAAATATTTTTTTCTTTTTCTTTTTTTTCCCCCAGAAGTTCTCTGTATTCAAGAATCAGATCTATCAGGGCATCTAAGAGCATTAGCTCACTCCCACACAAAGGGAATTACATATGTGAAAAACACTGTACTCCAAAATTCTGCTATTTTGGAAAGATGATCCACACACTGTACCAAGGGTAGTATTACTACCTGGAGTCTCAATCAGAAACAGTGTGTCAGCTTTTGCTTTTCTTCTGTTTTAGGGAACTTCCTAAGGAGAACTAAGGAAACTCAGAAACAAAACACGCCTTGCAATGTTCCACATCCTTGAGTATCTCATAAATCATGTTCTTATATAACTCTTCCTTTCACATTTGATAAAACGTTCAAAAACTGATGTCTGGTTGCATTTAGGATTTACAGAATTGCATTTTTTTAGGCTTCTACTAAAAACATTGTGTATGTGTTAAAACGGAAGCTCATTCTACACCTCACAAATGCTGTGCAGCGACATTTGATTCTAGACACAACCTGTCTGTTTACTCGTGGTAGTGCTTAGAGTACCTGCACCTGCAGAGGAATAACCCCAGGTGCCAGTACAGGGTAGCAACTGACCTGCTGGCAAGCAGCTTTGAGGGGAAGCACTTGGGGCTCCTGGTGGACAAGCTGACCATGAGCAGCAGTGTGTCCTTGCAGCAAAGCAGGCCAGGGACATCCTGGTCTTCATTAACAAGTGTTGCCAGCAAGTTAAGGGATGTGGATCCTTTCCTTTTACTGAGCCTTGGTGAGGCCCCACCTGAAGCACTGTGTCCAGTTCTGGGCTCCCCAGAAGATGAGAGATATGGAGCTACTAAAGCGAGTCCAGCAATAGGATCCTAAGGTAGGCAGGGACTAAAGATGAGGAAAGGCTGAGAGAACCAGGACTGTTCAGCCTGGAGAAGACTGAGGGAGAATCTTACCAACGTGTATAAGTTTCTGGAGGGAGGGTGTAAAGAGGATGGGAGGCAACAATCACAAACTGAAACACAGGAAGGTCTGTCTAAACATGAGGAAAATCATTACTACAAAGGTGAAGAGCACTGGAACCTGTTGCCCAGACAGGCTGTTGAATCTCCATCTTTGGAGATATTCAAACATTGTCTGGTCCTGGGCCGTGTGCTTGAGTATGGGGACTGGACTAGGTGATTTCCCTTCCAACCTCAACCATTCTGTGATCCTATGATTCTTTTTGATTTTCACGTATTAAGCACAAAATTCAGTTTAAAATACCTAAGCTACCCGAAAACTCGGCTATAATTTAGCAAAAGTTTTGGGCCAAAAGAGGTCACTTCTAATGATTTATATTTCCCAAGGAACTGCTTCACAGTTCCATCAGATTCATCACAGGATGACTCATATGCCTCTAAAGTAATTGAAAAAAAGGAAACACACAAACTGTAAGAAGGCAATTGTAAGTCTTCTAAGGACATGAACACATTTCCTGTCCATATGGATCAATGCTTCTGATTTTCATGCAAGCCTGAAAATACTAAATGTACCTCAAGCCATCAGTCACAGAACTAACAGACAGAAGTGTTAGTTAACATACTGCAGTTT